TGGCTATTGTGAATAGTGCCGCAATAAACATGGTGTGCAGGTGCCTCTGGAGTAACCTGTGTCACAGTCTTTGGGTATATCCCCAAGAGTGGTATTGCTGGATCAAATGGTAGATCAATGTTTAGCTTTTTAAGTAGCCTCCAAATTTTTTTCCAGAGTGGTTGTACTAGTTTACATTCCCACCACAGTGTAAGAGGGTTCCTGTTGGTTGGTGGTTGTTGCTGATGATGGCTATTCTAACAGGGGTGAGGTGGAATCTTAGTGTTTTTAATTTGCATTTCCTTTATTGCTAGAGATGGTGAGCATTTTTTCATGTGTTTTTGGCATTTGAATTCTTCTTTTGAGAAAGTTCTGTTTAGTTCACTTGCCCATTTCTTTATTGGTTCATTAAGTTTTTGGGAGAATTTTAGTTTTTTAAGTTCCCTATATATTCTGGTTATCAGTCCTTTGTCATGTATAGTTGGCAAATATTTTTCTCCCACTCTGTGGTGTTCTCTTCAGTTTAGAGACCATTTCTTTTGTTGAAGCAGAAGCTTTTTAGTTTATGAAGGTCCCATATCTATTTTGCTATCTCTAGTTGCTGTGCTGCTGGGGTTCCATTGAGAAAGTTCTTACCTATACCTACTAACTCCAGAGTATTTCCTACTCTTTCCTGTATCAACTTTAGAGTTTGGGTCTGATATTAAGATCCTTGATCCATTTTGAGTTAATATTGGTATAGGGTGAATACATGGATCTAGTTTCAGTTTTTTGCAGACTGCTAACCAGTTTTCCCAGCAGTTTTTGTTGAAGAGGCTGCTTTTCTCCATATATTTTTAGCTCCTTTGTCAAAGACAAGTTGGTTATAGTTGTGTGGCTTCATATCTGGGTCCTCTATTCTGTTCCACTGGTCTTCATGTCTGTTTTTGTGCCAGTACCATGCTGTTTTTATTGTTATTGCTTGTAATATAGTTTTGAAGTCAGGTATTGTGATACCTCCAGCATTGTTCTTTTGACTGAGTATTGCCTTGGCTATTTCGTGGCCTCTTGTGTTTCCATAATAAATTTAACAGTAGATTTTTCAATCTCTTTAATGAATGTCATTGGAATTTTGATGGGAATTGCATTAAACATGTAGATTACTTTGGGAGTATGACATTTTTACTATTGTTGATTCTACCAATCCAGAGCATGGGAGATCTCTCCACTTTCTATAGTCTTCCTCAATCTCTTTCTTCAGAAGTTATAGTTTTCCTTGTAGAGGTCTTTCACATCTTTGTTAGGTTTTACACCTAGGTATTTGATTTTTTTTGAGGCTATTGTAAATGGAATGTTTTCATACATTCTTTTTCCAGTTTGTCATTGTTAGTGTATAGAAATGCTAATGATTTTTCTATGTTGATTTTATTCCTGCTACCTTGCTATAGCTATTGTGGATGTAGAAGCTTCTGAGTAGAGTTTTTTGGTCTTTAAGGTATAGGATCATGTTCATCTGCAAATAGGGATATTTTGACAGTTTCTTTACCTTATTTGTATTCCTTTTATTCCTTTCTTCTTGCCTAATTGCTCTGGCTAGGAATTCCAGTTACTATGTTGAATAGGAGTGGAGATAGTGGGCATCCTTGTCTGGTTTCCTGATTTTAGAGGGAATGGTTTCAGTTTTCTCCATTAAGTATAATGCTGGCTGTAGGTTGTCATATATAGCTTTTATAATGTTGAGTACTTCCTCTATTCCTAGTTTTCTTAGAGCTTTTATCATGAAAATGGATGTTGGATCTTATCAAAAGGCTTTTTCTACATCTATTGAGATGATCAAAGTGGTTTTGTCTTTGCTTCTGTTAATGTGGTTTATTACGTTTATTGATTTTCATATGTTGAACCACCCTGCATCCCTGGGATGAAGCCTACTTGGTCGTTGGTGATTAATCTTTTTTTGATGTGTTGTTGAATTCCTGTTTGCCATTATATTTGTTGAGGATTTTTGCGTCAATGTCAATAAGGAGATTTGGGCCTATAGTTCTCCTTTTTGGACGGTGTCTTTGCCGGGGTTTTGGGATAAGTTGTTAATACCCTGGCTTCATAAAATGTGTTTGGCAGTTTTCCTTCCCTTTCGATTTCCGGTTGGAACAGTTAAGGAGGGTTGATAATCAGTTCTTCTTTAAAGGTCTTGATAGAATTCAGCAGAAAAATCCATTCAAGGGGACCTTGATTTCTTGAAAGACTGGACGGTGAAGAATTGCTTCATCTCACTTAAAGTCCTGCTGCCCTTGTATGTATACTGAGAAGTAATATAGGAGGCAGTTAGCCAATGGAAACCCCTAGCAAATGGGAACACTTGGTTGACTTGAAACTATTCCCAGTAAGGAAAATATGTAGGTCATTTCATGACCTATAAACCACTTTTCTAGCCTGTGTTAAAATATTGTTTCTTTTGTGTTTTTAAGGATACACCAAAACTTCGTTGCAAAGAAATGGCAGTCTGTTCTAGAGGTGAGGAAGCAAGCAAGAGAAGTGTATGGAGGTTGCCTTTGTAGCCCAGTCCCAGGATAAATATTGTTATATAGGAGGCTACATTTCTCCTCTGAAAGGTAGTTCTTTAAGCAGCTGGGGGTGTATGGATAGGCATCCAAAGCTGCCAACTGGGGTTACTTGGCTTTTGCTTCTTAGGTGAAATCCTCTCTTGAAGGGCCTTTTATTAGAGAGGGGAAGTGTATGAGTATTAATGGACTCCTAGATCCCCTTAGGCACCAAACCCTGCTCAGATTCTTGGGCCAACAAGAGCTTTTGAACAACAATTAGAAGCAGAACAATAACTTGCTGTCAGTTCTATTTAAAATATCTAGCTCCCCATGTAACTTGAAATGTAGAAAACTGTTTATGAGTCTCCATTTGACTGAAGGTATGAACTTGGAAGTGTTAATGAACTAATGTTAGAGAGCTAGGCATTTTGGTAATATGAAGTATAACCATCTTTTCTGATCAAAACTTGTTTCTAAAACTAGAGATCAGGAGGGATTTGCTTAGCAGTAAATGCCATAGATTTCAGAACCAGGAGGAACTTGGGAGATAGGAAGCTATCATATAATCTTTCTTCATATTTATAAACTTAATTTTGACCCATTTGGAGGGAACAAAATCAGTCTGAAAGAGAGGCTTTATCTCCTGCAGCTCATATTCTAGATATTTCTCTAATTAGATAGGTAGGCTGTCAGATACAGGTAGTTTCGGCTCTGTTTTTTCACGTGTATTGTTAGATTCTTAGCAGATGTCCTTTTGCTCACTTATATTCATATTAGTTACCTTCAGCAAGATGTACTTCATAAATCAGCAAACAATGTTACTCCATTTGCTAGTCTTCCAGGGTTCTTGGATGTAATTGGGACTTACTCTCTCATAACTAATGGTTTGTTGCTTTGTCACTTTTATAGTCTCAGTAGTTATTAGCATATTCTCTAACTTGGGAATAACGGAAATAAATCTTCTACTTCTAGAATAATTGTAACACTACTGGGTCTTGCTTAAGATACCATCTGTAACAAACAATGAGCTTGGGAGAAATGCAGCAGTCAAGAAGGAAGGGAGCTGGACTGTAAAGAGCATAGATTCTTGTATGTCAGTGCAGAACTGGGGCAACACCTTTGACCTCTGACCATCTGCTTTTAGGTTAATGTTTAACACAAATTGAATGATTTAAGTAATTTTCTAACATAAAGTAGCATCTAGTTAAGGACTTCTCTTATATTTGCTTTCAGGATGATGACTAACCTAAGCAAAATTTTCTTGCTGAGAATTCTTTTATCCTAAAGAGACTGAAGGACATGAGATAGTAGCAGTAGTTCTATATTGTATTAATTTTCTTTTCTATATTTGGCACATGACTATGAATTAATATGCAGTCGATCTCATTGTACTAAACAGAGTTTTTTCTCATATAATTAAGAGGTGTGACCTTCCTCTGACTTTCTCCCAAGTTAGGAGAAAGAAGCTTGTAGCATCAATTCTCACCCACTTTAAATTTCAGTGTACCACAGGGTACTTACAGAAAAATTTATTTGGATTAGCAGAAGACTAACCGGCCAGTCCCAGTTTCCCCAGGACTTTTTCAGTTTTAGCACTAGTCTTGGATCCTGGAAAAATTCTAAATCTTGCGCAAACCTGGACATTTGGTCACTGACTCAGGAGTTTCACAGTAACTTTCTTATAACCTTTCTTAGTGATGGATGATCCTGCTTATTAATTGACAAATTATAACACCTGGTAGGTACTACATGTACTTCTGTCCTGGTTAGCAATTGCTATCTCCATGCCACATCATTAATAATGTTAAGGCTCTCTGCTTGGTTCTGTTGAATATCTCAAAAGCAGAACTGAAGTTCTACATGTTCACTTTCTTAATACAGCAATAAGAGGGAGTAGAATCGGGAGAATGGACGGGGCCTACATGCTCTATTCATTCATACTTAATGCATCAGATTGGATAATAATCTGAAAAACTAGTCAGGACATGAAACTAAAGATTGGGAGAGTTAGAGGTGATTTATCTTAAATGTTTGGTGATTTATCTTAAATGTTTGGTAAGAAACTGGAATTCCCATGACGGTTTTTGAGATGGTTGTCTTGATTCTTTCAAAGGAAATATACTGGGGCTGGTGAAGTGGCTCAAGTGGCAGAGCAAGCGTGAAGTCCTGAGTTTAAATTCCAGTACCACATCCCCCACAGAAAAGTCCTTTCTTTTAGAGGGAATGTACTCGGAATTGAACCAAGGGCCACTTACGCTGTGTCCCCAGCCCATTTTTTTTTTAACTTTATTTTGAAATAGGGCCTTGGTAAAATTTGCCCAAGCTGACCTCAAAACTCGAGATTCTTCTGCCTGCTCCTCCTGAGTAGCTGGGATTACAGATGTGAAAGAGCACACCTGGCTGGGAATATAGGTTTTATAGCATGAAAATTAAAGCTATAAATTGGGTTGTATATGTATGTATATAAGTATATATGCATTTGTACTTTTTTTTACTCTCCAGTCAAAGTATGATGAACTTAAAAAATCAGAGAAGGGAAGTAAACAGCAGCATAAAGTTCATAAGTACATTACATCATGTGAGATGGTGATGGCTCCTGTCCATGAAGCAGTGGTCTCCATACACGTTTCCAAAGTCTGGGATGACATCAGTCCTCAATTCTATGCCACATTCTGGTCATTGACAATGTATGACCTTGCAGTTCCACATACCAGCTATGAACGAGAAGTCAATAAACTTAAAGTTCAGATGAAAGCAATTGATGACAATCAGGAAATGGTAGGTTTTTCTAGCAGCTCAAGTAATTATTAATTCAGTGTGTCCATTCTTTGTAATTATTTTAGCTTAAGATCCTTGATCTTTGATTTTGTTGCTGTATAATATTTTAAGTGAGTTTAATGGTAACTCCTTAATGGGTTGGGCAGGGACTTGGTGAACAGATGGAAATTATGACTAAGCAAAAACATCTGAATTTACTTTTCTACTGAAGACTATGCTGGTAGCTTAAATTGTTCTGTGTGACTACAATTATTAGGACAGTAGGAGTTCCCAAAAGGGGACCCCTTTAGAAAATGTTCTTGAAGAGTTGAGGCTAGAGCTGGGCAGGCCTTGAAGTAGATGAGGTGTGAAAATATGGAGGCAATAAGGAAGCTACTTTAGAGTTCCAGAGAAGTCAAGGCCTAGTATGGAGTTTAAGAAGACCACTTTTACTGGGCTTAGAGATAAATTGAATAGTTAGGATAGTACCAGATTGTGTAGGGCACTGAAAATCCAGTAGAAAAGTAGATTTGATAACATTGAGAGCTCATTTAGATAGCATCCAGGGAATTAATAATGGGTAAAAAAGTGATACTTTAAAAAGGTTGTTTATAATATTAGTACGAGAGATTTTTTTAAGTAAAAGTGATGGAAAAGTTTACTAGGAAAGGAGTACACTTTCAACAGACTGAAAGTGGGTCATCTCTAGAGTAAGATCGATACAAAGGATGCTTTTGATAAGGGAAGAGACTAACATTATGCTAGAGATAAGCTAGGTGGCTTTGTTGGGTAATTTCCTGTGAGGTACTGAGAGCATAGATTGTGGTAGAGACAGTAGGAATACATAAGACTTGTAAACAAGTGGGATGAATGAAGGAGAAGGACCAATCAAATATGACTTCATGCATGGCTCAGATAGATAGTACCATGGTTAGGAAGATGGTATATGAAGGCACTATGACACTACTTTGGATGTGTAGCATGGAGGCAAAAGCAGCACATCCTGGTGGACCTACTATATATCCATGTTGAAATAATTAAAGTACCAGTATTTATCTTTCTAAAAATTTAATTATAAGAAGTGAGTTAATGTGCATATAGTTAGAAAAGTAATTTCTACTTTGTAGCCTCCAAATAAAAAGAAAAAAGAGAAGGAGCGTTGTACTGCCCTTCAAGACAAGCTTCTTGAAGAAGAAAAGAAGCAGATGGAACATGTACAGAGGGTTCTACAGAGACTGAAATTGGAAAAGGACAACTGGCTTTTAGCAAGTAAGTTGTTGGAATTGTTACATTCCTGCTGCTAAATTGCAAAAGCAAAACCTTTGTAACTTTGGAGTTGTTGAAGTATACTGTGTTTGTATTTCAACTCTGTTCACTATCCCACTCTTGGTTATTCATTAATGCAGAATCAACTTCACATGTTCACTGAAGGAAGTGATGATGTAGTTTGCTGACAAAATTAATTAAGTTCTAACTATAATAGTGGCAGCTTATCATTCAGTTTTTCTGTATAAAATCATATTTCTGGGGGAAATTGTAGATAGGAAAATGCCCACAGAGTAAAATTGATAGTCTTATCCCAGGCCTGACCTTTTGGTTGCAAACTATAAATAGTTTGTGGTTTTACAGCATTCTCTACACTACAGTTAATATGTTGTCATGTTTAGTGGCCTTGAGGCACTTGAGGAAGAAGTTTACCACTTAATATATTCTTCCCTTATTTTTAGAATCTACCAAAAATGAGACCATCACAAAATTTCTACAGCTGTGTATATTTCCTCGATGTATTTTTTCAGCAATTGATGCTGTTTACTGTGCTCGTTTTGTTGAATTGGTACATCAACAGAAAACTCCAAATTTTTCCACACTTCTTTGCTATGATCGAGTAAGTTCTTTTTATTGCAACCTTTAACAAAAAGTCTCACACAAAGATAGGTAGACTTCTAATCTATAGAGGTATTGTGTGTGTGGTTGAAAGCATGAACTCAAGAGCCAAGTGCCTGAACTTGAATCTTAGCTCTACTGCTTTCTAGCTATGATCTTTGGCAAGTTATTTAACTTCTCTGTGCCTCAGTTTTCTTACCTGCAAAATGGGACCTGCTTTGTGAGATTGTTGTGAGGATTAAATGAGTCACCAGGCATAAAAATATTTGAATAGTGCCTGATAATACAATAAACACTCAAGGTTAAGCTATTAACACAGCATTTGAGTTCACATGTTATGTCACCATAGGTAGTACTCTTCTTCAAACTTCATCCCTTAAAACAGACCTCCCCCCACCACCCCCCAAAAAAACACACACACACAACGAAAACTTTACATCTTTGCACATACATAAAAGCAGGGAAGCTTTTCAGTGTGGTCATATTCACTGATTTTGCATCTGGCTTTTTTCTTAAATTACTATATTTTCTGGTTTAGAAATGTAATGTATGTCGTAGCATGTCAGCTGCCTATTTCTAATTTCTATCAGCTTTGCCTTTGCTTATTGTCCCCTCAATCCCAGTCATGTATGACTAAGTCTTTAAGAAGATATTATTTGGTAATAATAATAGTTTTTTTCTTCTGTCATTATAAGTTAGCTTTCTTTATAAAAGTTCTATTTTAGTTGCTTTATGAATGTGTTATTTCTCTACAAAAGCCAGAATCTCCAAGTCTCTGCAAGTGTGAATATAAAATGAGAAAAAATGTTTTCACTAAACTTACCTGCTTATTATGATTTTCTATAATACAGCCTTTTGATATTTTCAACTGGTTTTGACCTTGGTTTTTTTTTTTTCCAAACTTCTTTTTTCCTCTAGGTTTTCTCTGACATAATTTATACAGTTGCAAGTTGTACTGAAAATGAAGCTAGTCGATATGGAAGATTCCTTTGCTGCATGTTAGAGACTGTAACCAGGTGGCATAGTGATAGAGCCACATATGAAAAGGTATGTGTAATAAATACCCTTAATTTTTATCCATGTATATAATGACCATATCTAGAAATCTCTAAATCAGTTTTAAAAGAGAAGCTAAGTATCAGTTGTAAAATGGTATTTAAAAGTAGAATTAATGCATTATTTAGAAGTAGTGTACTTTTAATTCTATTTCTGTGTGACATTCCAAACTAGTATCATTGAATAAGCTGAACCATTCTGTGAAAGTTACCGTTCTGAGGGGCTGGGATGTAGCTCAGTGGTAGAGTGCTTGCCTGGCATGCACGAGGCCCGGGGTTCGATCTCAGCCCCAAATAAAAAAGAGAAAGTTACCATTCTGAATCCAAATACATACACATGTTTTTACTTGGAATCATCAATCTAGTCTCCTTAAGTTTCAGCTTCTGCTATTTTGTAGGACATAAATCGATCTTTAAAAGTGACAAATGCTTTTTTCTTAGGAATGTGGAAACTATCCAGGATTCCTTACCATATTACGAGCAACTGGATTTGATGGTGGAAATAAAGCTGATCAGTTAGATTATGAAAATTTCCGACATGTTGTACATAAGTGGCATTACAAACTAACCAAGGTAAACAAAATAGAATTTTCAAAGGTAATTTTTTTCTCCTCCTTTTTTTATTTATAATAATGGATCTTAAAATGTTTATTTTAGGCATCTGTACATTGCCTTGAAACAGGCGAATATACTCACATCAGGAATATCTTGATTGTGCTAACAAAAATACTTCCTTGGTACCCAAAAGTTTTGAATCTGGGTCAGGCTTTGGAAAGAAGAGTACATAAAATCTGCCAAGAAGAAAAAGAGAAGAGGCCAGATCTTTATGCATTGGCTATGGGGTAACAAAATTATACTTTAATGTAATTTATGACACTAGATTACAGAAGGATTCTGAAGACTTTAAAATGTTTTACAGTGTTGAAGTTTATCTTCTGCCTTACTTGAGGAGATTATGGGAGATAATGCGATCATGTTCCCACAGGCTGGTGAGAGTTGTCGGCTTCTGATGATCAACTTCCGGTCTATACTGGATGATAGTTTTAAAAGCCACGTAGAATATGTTTTGAATGTTAGGGCATGTAATTTTATCATTATAGTTGAGTTTTTAGGTCTCTCCAAGAGAAAAAAAAAGACAAAAACTATGTTGAAGAATTAGTTTAGTTTGCAAATTTTATTTTTAAGGAAGTATCTGGTGCTGTCTGTAAAGACCTTTAGGAAGTTACTGGAAATTAATATTTCTTATTCTGTGAAGCAAAGTAGAGAGTAAATGACTTGCTAATTTTATTCTTGTAAATCCCATGTTTGTGCTTTTTGGTTTGTTTTTGTATATTTAAACACTTTGTGCGACTTTCAGCTACTCTGGGCAGTTGAAAAGTAGAAAGTCATACATGATACCTGAAAATGAATTTCATCACAAAGACCCGCCTCCAAGGAATGCTGTTGCCAGTGTACAAAATGGGCCTGGTGGTGGGCCTTCTTCATCATCCACTGGAAGTGCATCTAAATCGGATGAAAGCAGTACTGAGGAGACTGGTATGCTTATTTGTATACATTTATAAATAATACATTGAAATGTTTTGTATCACACAAGTACAATCCTGGCCTTGTATTACTTTTTTATTCCCTGGGTAGGAGTATGTAACTAAAGTAATCAACCTGAGGATTCTTTCCAATTATCCTTTAATCATTTTGCTATGAATTTGTAGTTTATTTGTGTTTAGGAGCTTGTTTAAAAAAAACCTTACTTTTGTTTCAGATAAATCAAGAGAGAGATCTCAGTGTGGTGTGAAAGCTGTTAATAAAGCGTCTAGTACCACACCTAAAGGGAATTCAAGCAATGGAAATAGTAGCTCTAACAGGTTAGGAACATTGTGTCATATGTGTTTTTAATTTTTATATAATGGGTCTCATTAGCCATGAATGGAAGGGGGATGGTAGTTCAGCAGTAAGGATGTCATTTATGTTGGACTTTGAAATTTCATATATACCCTATTTTGATAGTGTTCTTTTACTACCATCCTAATTATGTTTTATATAATTACATAATTATATAATTATGTTTTGTTTAATAGCCTTGTGTTCCCTGCTGGTAAATTCAGGGGAATGTAGGTGGTAAAGTTAAGAAAACATTTTAGGTTTGAGTGATTGCTATGGGCAATCTGAATAAGGCTAGTTAACATTAAAAAAAAAAAGCTTATACTAATTTAGAGTAGTGGTCCATCCAGCTCAGCAACCCATTTCCTGGTAGTACCACTCTTAGTTGGTTTGTGGGATAGAGGTTTGGTTGTTACCATTATCTTGTTATCTTGAAAGTTTATGAAGGTTTACAAAAAAAATCATTCTTTTCATCTATTTATAAATTTATCATATATTGTATAAAGAAATATTTCCATTTTACTTGTCTTAAAGTTGACCTTTAGCTTTCAGAGAGCTCCCATAAGCTTTAGAGTTTTTGAAAGTTAGTAAGAAGCCATTTATGATTTAAATATGGAATATATTTTGTGATTATTTGTCTTAAAATCCGATGCTTTTATTCTTAAGCAGCAAAGCTGTTAAAGAAAATGACAAAGAAAAAGGGAAAGAGAAAGAAAAAGAGAAAAAAGAAAAGACTCCAGCTACTACTCCAGAGGCCAGGGTACTTGGTAAAGATAGTAAAGAAAAACCAAAGGAAGAGCGGCCAAATAAAGATGAAAAAGCAAGAGAGACCAAGGAAAGAACACCTAAGTCTGACAAAGAGAAAGAAAAATTCAAGAAGGAAGAAAAAGCTAAAGATGAGAAATTCAAGACCACTGTTCCCAACATAGAATCAAAATCAACTCAAGAAAGGGAAAGAGAGAAGGAGCCATCCAGAGAAAGAGATATAGCAAAGGAAATGAAATCAAAGGAAAATGTTAAAGGAGGAGAAAAACCACCAGTTTCTGGGTCCTTGAAGTCACCTGTTCCCCGATCAGATATTGCAGAGCCTGAAAGGGGCAAGTGTACTTTTCTTTATATTTGTTTACTTTTTGTTGTTTTAATGTATAGTTGTTTGTTGTCTCCTTGTTTTGGTAAGTTTTCTAGAGATTTTTAGGTTTTTTAAGATCAAGTGTTCTTGATCTTTAAAAATGCTCACTGAATACTTGATCTTAAAAGATGTTCGTTTTAAAGTGTTTGGAAAGACTGGTATTCTGACTTATTTCCTTTTGTCCGAACAGAACAGAAGCGCCGCAAAATTGATACCCATCCTTCTCCATCACATTCCTCCGCAGTAAAGGTTAGTATAGCCTGAGGAAGGCAGCGTCTATATTAGGCTCACCTGTTTGGAATACCAGTGTCCTGACTTCCTTCAAGTCTTGTGCCAAGTATTCACTGAAGCCACTGGAGGTTTTATATTGCATTAGAAAATGAATTTTTTCTGTATTGGTGGACTGATATTTTTCCTATTGAGTATTTTTATTATAAAAAATGTTAAAACTTCAAGGACCTAGCACTAATTTTATAATGTTTCAAAGTACAAGAGAAATTTTACCCAGAAGTGCCTCACTGCTTTAAGCAGTCTTTTTTTGGAGTGCAATGGTAGCTACAAGCAAAAGAATATTTTCAGCAGAATGAAGCTATTTTTCGGAATAAATATTGAAGAATATATAGTACTGAAGACTTCCTGGATGATACAGGATTAAACAAGATACCTCTGAATTCATCAAGCTTCTTGATGAGCATCATACCTGATGTGCCTTCTAAGAAGGAGTCTTGAAAGGCGTTCCATTTTAAAGTCTCCTTGGTGATCAGTTCTCCTGTAGTTGTGTATATTCAGTGAGCATGCAGCTTCTGTTGTATCTTCCCTTGGAGGTTTGTTTATACCCATTGGGTTCCCAACAAGTTGAACCTTCCGTTACGATAAAAGCGGATGTGGCATCCAATCCTACCACCCAGCAAAGAGAAATCCCAGGCATTCAACTGCAGCACAAAATCGTGGGTGTAGCCTTCTTGAAGACTCAGGGTAGCCATTCCTTGCTCCATATTTAATTTTAATTCTAAAGTCATCTAATTTCATGGAATCTTTGAATTTGCAGTACGTTGAACTTTTAAAACTGTAAGTTATTAATTCTTCATCAAGAGCACTGTGGTGGAATACCTTAATTGATTTCTTTTTCTTTTTTCTTTCTTTCCTTTTTTGTGCTTTTTTTTTTCTTGTTTGAGGTATGAAATTCACCATAGGCATTTTGCAAAAAAAGAGATTACTCTCATAGAATATATATATTTTTTCTTGTAATATAGTGCCATAGTTTTCCAATGAGAACAAAAATGTGTGCGTTTATATTAGAGTTATAAGTAAAAATTAAAATGTTCAATTAAAGAAAAACTATGAAAACCTGAGTCAATGTTGTTCTTCCACAATGACTTCCACTGTTCTAAACTTTTTGTGGAGAAAAATGTTTTGCTTTCTTAAGCCTCTTAAATTACTTACAGCTTAAGTACAGAGATGTGGAAAATGTGGCATTGACATTTATTTTTAACTTTCGATCAGAAAGAAGATAATTTTTGTTTCTTACATTGAGTACAATTAATTTAGTTTTTTTAACATTACAATTCCATTATATGGTTTTGTTTTTATTTTTATTGTTGATACTCATATTGATAATGATATCACGGAATTTATCCTCACAAGAAGTAGCTGGTTTATTTCCAGGTTACAGCCATACTTCCCAAAGTTCCTCTGGGTTCTGAGAACTATGCCAGCTCACCTGTCATCTCCATTCATTTTCTACAGGACAGTCTCATCGATCTCAAGGAGTCTTCAGCAAAGGTTTGAGTCTTTTAAAATCATCATGCCTAAGTAAACCAAAGAAAAATCTTTACTTCTTTTATTTAGTAGATGCCTTTGCCCTAGTAAATTCAGTAAGCTAGGATCGGTGGGAAGAAGTATTCTGATTTTTTAGAGTATCCTTTATCACAAAGTAAAAGAACAGATGACAGTGGTCCCTTTTAGAGAGATCGTTATAAAATGCGTGTGATGTGGCAACATTTCTATAATCTGTCTTTGGTTTCTGTGTTAGGCATTCTCCTTTTATGTTTCAAAATGAACTAAACTTAAGGTTTGGGGGAGGGAGAGTTAATGCTTTGTTTTGGGGCAATAGGCTTATTTAATTTAATTAAACCTGTTTTTTGAAATTAAATAAGGAGTGCTTTCTGACTGTGTTTTTAGGCAACCCAGAAGACCAAAACAGTAATTTGTGCATTCACATAACGGTTTTAAAAACTGAGTCCATCTCAATCCGTACAATTCTTTATATCTCCCTCTGCTGAGATATCTTTCTGGTAGTTGTAGCATAATATCAGGAGATATAGCAAATGTAAAATTATTATTCTCTTGGAAAAACGTACTCAAATTGGTGGTTGTGCTAACATGTCAGTATTAATTCTTACCTATTACTCTACTTTCCTGGGTATTCTGCTACTAAAATTACTGTGCAGTTTGTGTATCTTATTGCAGAGTTCATTTTAGTATTATAGTTGAATTGTCTATTGTTCATGTCATTTTGGTTTTATTATTAAATATTTGTACTCTTCTTTTTACTTTGACTCTCTACTTTGTCTCCTCTTTTATCTGCTTAGTATGATTATTTACTGATTGACCAAATGGAACGTTGAAATAGCCACTTGACATTATTAACTGCTTTAAGATCTATAGCTTTTTGATGAAATGTCCGTGGATTCAGGGCAAATATGCACTAATTTTTAACAGTTTAAATTAGGCAATGTACCTGTGCCCTAAAAATGTGGCATTGGTTTTTTTTTGACTATGCTGTATTAATTAAAAGAGTACCAGCTATACTATGAGTACTTTGTTCTAAAGTAAAACAATTTTATTGGCTAAATCCTGTTTGGGATTGTAATTGTCAGCCTTAACCATCAATGGCTTGTGCCAGGCTATTTTATATTCATGTGTTAGTAGTCTTAATATGTGAGTATTTATTTACTGAAACATATTTTGAGGCAGTTTAAAACCTGCTGCTAAAATTAACTGAATTTTCTCATCAGTGATGAAGTTTATGGTTCCTCACATTTGTGAAAGCCTTTTGAAACTAAAACACTGTGGGATAATGTATATTTGTCTTATTTCGTGCTCATAATAGTGCTGTTAGGTTAAGTAGGTGCAGATGGTAGTGTCTTTTTGACAAATAAGAGACAAAAAATTCTTAAGCCTTCCCTGGTGGCATACAACCTGTTAGTTCCAAAATATGAACTAAACTTAAGGGTTCTTCAAGTCTTTGCACCTATTTCAGCAATAGTTGAAAGGGTTTCTAGTTGTTTTAGTGGGTTTATCTTGTATTTTAAAATACAATGATTGAAGTCAATCCCAACCTTTTAATTTTTTTTTAAATGATGACTTTCTGGGCATTTAAAATTCAGTAGACTTGTTCCACATGCAACCAGAAAAATTTGAAAATGGCATATAAATGTGCTTCTAAAAGTTACGTGACTCATACCACTTTTCAAATCTTTAGTGCTTCACATAATGCCTGGCAATAAGGTTCGGTGTTCAGTCAATAAGTATATGAAATGAACTTTGGCAAACCATCCAGCGTACTGGTTTGTAAAGTAACTGATGTTGGTTTTTTACGTGTCTAGAAAGTTTACTAATATTGAATGTCTTAGGTTTTTCCTGGACTTGGATCTTTAAAATTGATAATGTTTCATTTCAGTGTTTCTGGGGGTAGCTTTTACGTTACAGAGGGTTTGGGCACATGTGTCTGTTTTTCATGTTTATCTTGTCACTTGTACACATAGAATTATTTCCCTGCTTTAGTTTGACTTTTTAGCTATGTTTTGCCTTTGGGGTTCTCTTTTATATTATTTGCTATTTTCCATTTCTAATTCATAGTAAAAGTTATATAAGTGGGTTTGTCATTTCAAATGAGATTAAAAGGAGAAAAATCTAATTTAGTATCCAAATCTTTCTCAGCTCATCCTCCATCCTCATTTCCAACTGGCATATTTCTACTTTTCATCAGTTGTGTTTTGATCTAGCAATCCTAGCAGCTATATGTGATGAAAAAACAATTTTTAAGCATGACCAAGCCTAGAGTTTGAAAATTAGTCAGAATTTTTTTTTTTGGACGTTAATGATCCCAGTGTCAAGAATAAAAGCAAATCAAGAACAAAATCTAACAATGCTGCATACAGATCATTTTAACAAATCATTAACTTTATTTGGCAACCATGTTTTACATAATCAGTGTATGTCTGATGCTCTGGGAAGTATATAGAAACAGAAAAGTCATTCTGATTCTCCTTCTGTACTGGAAATTGTTTTGGTCAAAAATAAATGGCATGAAATTAATAGGGAATACATGTCACTAAAAAGAGTTCAGAAAACTGAATTGCAAAGTTGAAGGATGATTTTAAGTGTTAATGTCTGTTGAACTGCCTTTGAAGAATAAGGAAGCTTTTAAGAGATTAAAAGCTAGTAAAGAACTCCTGGAAAGAATGAGAATTAAGAAGTGATGCCCACAGCATACAACTCATTGGGTTGCTGTGGTAGGATATAACTGTGAAATGATTGTGGAGAGTTTGGAATGCCTAAGCTAAGCAGTGTGCATTTTATTCAGTGGACAATGAGAAACTGTTTTGTGGAAAAACATGTGATCATAACTATTCTTGGAAAGGCAGAAAGGAGGAATTGAATTGGGTACATTTCTAAATCAGTTTCTGATTATGTATCAGTTATTTGACTTTATGTCAAGAATGAAGTATTTGAATATTAATATCAGAAGTAAGTCCTAGAAAAGTTAATTACCTGCAGTACAGAATTCATGTAGTCACAGATTAAAATGTCATTCTTGTGGGTGTGTGCGCTCTTCACATGTGCATGCACCCCAACATTTTTTTTTATTTTAATGGGACAAATGAAGCAATACTTACTTTAGTGAAATCTTTGAGTATTGCAGTAATATATTATTGACTTTGTCTTATCAGTTTCATAAATAACATCTGAATATGTGAATAAACATCATAATTACAAAAATCTTGAAGTGTCACTTAAGGCAAACTCAGCAAGAGTATCTTTTAGACAAGTACTTTTATGATTGTTTATCATTCTCTTGCTCTTTGTTATTAATAAACATTTTGTCTATTTCAGTTGATCATCAACTTTTAAACTGAAATTTTAAAGAATCTGCTTCTGCATTGCTATGGCAATATTTCTGAACCAACTGAATTGAAAATATTTGGTGTTAAAAAATAAGTGTTTAATTCTCAAACTCATGGTCTTTTTTCTTGTATTCCTTTGAATACCAAAGGATTCCTTCATGTAAAAACATTTGACTTTTAACTCATGATTCTGTTCATTCCTAAGGTATACCTAGAATTATGAAGTTATGTAAAGAATTATAGTTAGGTTTTTGTTGCCTGATACTTTGAATGTATTAAACTAAGCATGAACTTGTAGCAGTTATAAATCCCATAAACTTAGGTATCAGATTATTTCTTGACTACTTCTTAAATATTTTCTTTTATAGTGGATTTCCATAGACAGTGATATTTTTCAGTTGTTTACAATATCCTTGATGTTTGGCTTTCTTCTGGCCTATATAGATCTTTTCACAGAGAAAGAATAGAATATTTTAATCAACCTCAGCTGACAATGATAGTTTTCTGAGCTACTTAGAATCAGTAAGACAGAATTTACAATCAGTTCTGATTATTTGATAGAATTGCAATGCTTTCAGAAGTAGAAAATATGTAGCAGATTTTACATTTGTAAAAAAATAATTTAGGGTAATCACTACCTGGTTTACACTAAGGCAAAAAAGACTTACTATTAAAGTCATAGCTAGGTTTTATTTGTATAATTTTACACACTGTCACCATTGGCTGCCTGTTGGTGGATGGTAAGAGTTAATAGTTTCATGATTGTATAGAAATGTATTTTTTGTTTTTACAGTGGAGAAAGTTCAGTCACTGTTTCCAATTATGGATTCTTGAAATGGTGGTTACATGTCTTTATATTTCAGTGAATAGAAGAGCTCTAGATTCTGAATTTACTAAGGAGTCTCAGTTGAGGCTGTAGTGAACTGACTGAGTGTAAATGGCAAATTTGTAAGGCCAAAAATTAAACCTTTGTATAATTTTTGTACAATGCTCTTTTTATTTTATCTCTTATAATACAGAGAGCTGACAATGACTTATCTGTCTTCTTTCATTTATTAAACAAAAAACCAGATGATACCAATATTGGAAAACTAATAATCTTTAGTAATATTGCCTTAATTTAACAGCTCTACATTAATCATACTCCTCCACCACTGTCCAAGAGTAAGGAGAGAGAAATGGACAAGAAAGATCTGGACAAGTCAAGGGAAAGATCCAGAGAAAGAGAGAAAAAAGATGAAAAGGACAGGAAAGAGCGGAAAAGGGTTTGTAATTTTTAAAACTAGTTTGGAAAACTCATTATCATGTATAGTAGTGTGTTTGTTGCTTCTTTAAAATTATTAGCAATGTGTTGTTTGGAGTTTTAACATTTTAACAAAAGTATTTTTGCATCTTCTACGGTAATAAGAATCCTTAGCCTAGGAATTTCTACCAGTCTCTCTTGCATTTTACCAAGTATGTGAAGCTACTGCAAATATTCTCCAATGCTAGTTAGCTGTGTCTTTCTTATATAAAAGTAGTTCTTTAAAGTAAAAACATAAACCCTTGATCAATGTAGTTCACAATTTTTGATTCTAGGATCACTCAAACAATGACCGGGAAGTGCCACCGGACCTAACCAAGAGGCGGAAAGAGGAAAATGGAACAAGTAGGTAGATTTATTTAGATATATTAATATCTTGGAAACAATCATCAATGTGAATTGAAAGGTTTTCATGATTCTCTTTTGTAATTTTAGTGGGGGTTTCAAGACACAAAAGTGAAAGTCCATGCGAGTCTCCTTACCCAAATGAGAAAGACAAGGAAAAAAATAAGTCAAAATCTTCAGGCAAAGAAAAGGGTGGTGATTCATTTAAATCTGAGAAGATGGATAAAATCTCCTCCGGTGGCAAAAAGGTAAATTAGGAGCATGAAGGAACAATGTATCTTTTCTAAAAGAAAACAAAATTAATCTTTTGAAAATTTAGCACATTTAATTTTTTTCTAATCAAGTATTTTATTAATTATTTGCGAGTACGAAGAGGAGACATTTGGGGAGGGTAGGTTATCTGGGGAATTTGAACCAGATTAATCCTAAATCACTGGGAGGTTAGAGTTAGTATACTCTGATGTTCCTTTCCTCTCAATTTTACTCCCACTTATTTTAATCTACCTTTTTTTTTCTGGCAGTACTGGGTCTTGAACTCAGGGCCTCACACTTGCTAGTTATGCACTCTACCACTTGAGCTACTCCACCCCCCTCGCCCCCAACCTATTTTATTTCTTTGTGTTTTAGTTTTTCTTTGTATTTTCTTTTTTCTCCACCCAGAATTCTTTGTTTTTAGTTTCTCTTTATTTTTGACATCAAAATATCATAACATTTAGTCACCCTATCAAACTGTCATAAAATCTTAATGAAATGCATTTTGAAACCTTTTTGAAATATTTTATTCTAACATGCTCATTCGTTTGAAACTTGTATTTGACATTAAAATTAAGAATAAGGTGCTTTTTAGATGATACTCAAGTTAAGTCTCATGCATGTTACATAAAGTAATAAGCCACTACTAAAGTCTAAAGTATTTACAAAGTATTATTGTATATGTTAAAAATATATGCAGTATATTTGTAGTTTATAAAAGTGGTTTCAGCAGAAAGGTGAGTGGTTTGATTCTATATGCTTTCAAAGATAGGCTGCTTCTTTTCAGTATTCTTTACTTGAGGTAAAATTTATATAACATGAAATTAACTAAACCGTACAATTAATTAATAAAAATTAGTATATTTTTATAACACTATGTAGCCATCTCTATCTAGTTCCAAAGCATTTTAATTGTTCCAAAGGGAACCCTACCTTAAACTCATGAGGCAGTCATTCCCCACATTCCTTTCTCCTAGTCCTTGGCAACTACAAATCTGCTTTATTTCTCTGTATAGTTACCTATTTTTAATCTTTCCTATAAATGGATTTATACAATAATAAGGCCTTTTGTGTCTGTTTTCCTTCACCTAGAAGAGTGTTTTTGAGGTTCTTCCATGTTACAGTATCTACCATTATTATATTTCTTTTTATGACTAATCTGTCATGTGAATATACCTTATTTGTTTATCCATTTCAGTTAATAGATTTTTAGGTTGTTTCTACTTTTTGGCTATTGTGATTAGTTCTTCTGAACATTTGTGTGCTGCTATGAAATAGTTGTTTGCATATGTGTCTTTGATTCTGTTGGATATATACCCAGGAATAGAATTTCTGGGTTATATAATATTTTTATGTTCAACTTTTTCTGGAACTGCCACTGTTTTTCACAGTGCTATACAGTTTACATTTCTACCAGTAATGTATTAGGGTGCAAATTTCTCTACATCCTTGTCAATACTAGTTAGTTTCTTTTTTTAAATCAGGCATCCTAGCAGGTGTGAACTGGTAGCTCATTGTGGTTTTGATTTGCATTCTCTTAATGATTAATGATGTCAAACATCTTTCTGTGTACTCCCGTATCAGATGCTTTCACCATTTTAAAATCGACTTGTCTATTTGTTGTTCAGTTGTAAGAGTTCTTTATGTATTCTGGTTAGTAGACTCCTATACATGATTTGCAAATATTTTCTCCCAACCTGTATGCAGCCCCCTTCACTTTCTTGATAGTTTACTTAGATGCAAGTTTTTATTTTTGGTGTAGCCTAATGTATCTATTTTTTTCTTTCACTGTGTGTGCTTTTGATGTCATATTAAATAAGTTGTTTTTTTCTTAATAAGTTACTAATAATTAAGTTTTTGAAGAAAAATTGTGTCTGATATGTATGAAAGGGGATTTTGAGCTGATTTTTTTAAAATTCGGTTTTCCCTTTCCCAACTAATCCACCATTACTTGTAGGAGTCCAGGCATGATAAAGAAAAGATAGAAAAGAAAGAGAAACGGGACAGTTCAGGAGGAAAGGAAGAGAAGAAACAATATCCTTTTCATTTTAATATTAATATCAATCAGCATAATGATGGAAAGTTTTTATACTGTTCGTGTTTAAAATTACACCTTTGTAGTATGTAGTCTAAATACTTAAGAGATTTTTAGCTTTAAAATGGTCTTTCCAGTTAACCCTCTCAAATGTATGAAATATGAAAATGGAAGATATCTTGATTTATTTTTTTAAAACATCTGTGGTAACTGAGATGTTTTATGCCACTAAGGGATTTATAATCTCTGGCTATATTGTCACCAAGAGGAAGAAAAGGAATAGTGAGTCCATTGGGCTGGGATAATGGTGAATAGAAGGACAAAATGATTTGACAGACCAGCAAAGCTGGTAGAGTTTGAGGCTACTGAGCTGGTCAGAGCCAATTATGTCTGCACGTTGAGGGATTATACTAAAAGGTGGGACACCATACTTTCTTGCTTCAAAGTTGTTTTCCCTTAATTTGTCATCTACTCATAAGTCCTCGGATAAGCACAGATAATGAAGACTTTCAATCAAGGTGAGTGTCCTCTCACCTCTTTTTCATTTAAGGATATGAAATGAGGCTTGATGATGTTGAAGAAACTAGATCCATTTTGCAAGATGCAGCTACTTGATTTTTCTACCTAAATGCAATGACCAAAGCTTCTGATTAGCTACACTTTTTTTTAAAGCATCAAGATGTATTTAAAAACCTCTGCGTTTCTCTTCACCACTCATTCTTATCTTTTCTGAATAATTAATTACCTTTTTAAAAAGTACCTGTAGGTCTGTAATTGGTGGTAAAGAAACTGAAACTATATTAGATAGTAGAGCCAATACTCAAACCTAAGTCTTATTCTTTAGTCTTCTCTGTTCTTTTTGCCTGCTCATGCAGATACGTTATGCAAAGATTAAGCTTTCATACCTCTGTTTGCCCATGTTTTGCAAAGCCAGAAAATTAGGCCTGCGATTTTAGTACTAGAATTTAAATATGCATGTTTATTTTCAAAAGAATATCTGTATTATACTTTATGTGAAATATAAAACATATTCTAACCATCTTAAATAATTTATATGTCAATCTTAGTGGACAGAATGTTCAGATCCAAATATTTTTTTTGCACACTTATAATTAACTTCTGAATAGTTACTTCGATGATGCTTTAGGATTACTGAATGTAGGATGATTTTCCCCTGTGTTTAATGGTTCTAGGTAGACATATTTGAAGTTGTTGACTGCTTTTTTATAGCTTTCATTTTTCATTTTTTCTTGCTTCCATTTTAACTGTCACTTCTTAGTGATATTAAGCATATGCCTGCTGTCTATTCATTGCCCCTAATATTATTGACTGCTTCTAATCTTTTATGAAACTCGATAGATAATTAAGGCTATTTACAGTTGTTAAAGAGCGATAAATGTCTGCAAGCCAGTTCATTAAAGAGGCTTCAGGGTATAGTTTTTGTCATACTTATTTTGGCTGCAGAGCAGGGATTTGAGGTTGCCAGATAAATGGCCTCCTGGTGAAGGATGTGCTTTTTCTGCTTTGTTATTCTGTACTATTATCTAAGTAGTAGAGTAGGATAAGCAGGAATTATGAAAGAGCATTTAAAGTTTAACTTTTTTTAATTAGGAAGATTCTTGATTTCTAGCTGCCCTACCCCCCTGTCTTCTCTGGTGAACTATAGCCTGTTAATCTTTATTATGCTTTTTGTTTTATTCTTCATCTTTTCTTTTAATTTGGCATTTTGCTTCCACATCTGATAAATTGAGGAGACAAAAAGCCTCCCTCTTAAATTTTCATTAGGAATGGACCAGCCATCATCACTGAAAACTTTCACTGTGACTTATATTCCTGTCTTTTTAGTACCTAAGTTTGTTCTTTTGTATGTGAAGGTTTTGCTATGGATTTTGAGTTTTTCTTACACTGGCCTTGAGTTTGTATTTTATTTCTCTATATAATCCCTCAGGAACAAAGGTATGAAAAACTGGCCAGGACTATCATGTGTTTGGCTGTTGGTCTTACAACAAAGGTTCTAGATTCAATATTTTTTTTATTGTCCAGATATTCTTTTTTTGGTGGGGGCAAGTACTAAGGTTTGAACTTGAGGCCTTAGGCTTTTAGGCTTGCTAGGCAAGAACTCTACTGCTTGAATCATGCTCTCAGCTCAAATATCCTTTTGAAGATATATTTAGCTTCATGATTACCCTAAGTTCAGTCTTGACAACAACTATGTACTGTACTTTTTTTGGAGTAGGTTCAAAAACATTTTCTGGCTGCCTCTTTCTATTTGGATTCATTCTGGGGTTGGTTAAGTCTTTCTATTTTTGTTCCTTTTCCTTCAGAAACCTGATCCTTTCTGATTGGTACCATTTTCCTATAGTCTGCTTCTAAATCTGCTGCCTCTGCCACCCTTTTAAGTTATTTTCTATTCTACAGAAAGGACAGCTGCTAACATATGTCATATTGCCATGATTCAAAGATGTCACTAATTTTAAGGTTTCAAGGTTGGTTGGTTTTCTTTTTTTTTTTTGTTGGATGTTTTGACCTCAGGGCCTTGCTAGGCAGGTCCTCTACCACTTGAGCTATACCACTAGCCCTTGAGGGTTTTTTTTTTAGGGGAGTGTGTAGAGAAATGACATTAATTTGTACTTATCACCCTGATTTTAGCAACATTAATATGATCACAATAGAAGTAAGAAAATTCTGGTAAATGCGACCTAGATTAAATTCCCTCCAAAGTCTATTTTCTTGTTCTTTCTCCTGTTTTTAGTTTTAAAACTATTTCTGCTTATTTTCTGCATCTTGTTACCTGTAAAGCCTTTATCCAAATTCATATTAACTTCTCTTTGATTTAGTCTCGAACATTTTTTAATTCTTTGCCTTTATTTAACCTTTTCCTCTACTATAAACCATCCTTTGGGTTCTCAGTTTTAATTTGGTATGTGTGGTCCTTAACTCATATCCTGTCCATCTGTATTTTTAGTTCACTGTATTCCTATTCTAACCTTTCATTCCTTCCAACAAGGCCCAATATATTTGGTAGGTTCATTTCTTACCTCCAGTCTCATATTCTTATCCTCTAAACCCAAGGTTGCAAATTCTCAGTCCTGGGGCAAAATGTGAGTTCTTAGGTGTACGTTCTTGGCCTTACACAAAATTTACTTCATTTGTTTCTATTATATCCCTAACCCCTGTAGATAATTAAGTTTTTAATTCCTGCTCTAAGCATCCTCCCCTCCCCCCCCCATTCAGACTATATTTGGAAAATGACCTAAGGTCTCACAGATTTCTAATTTTAGGAATGCATTGCCATTTTGAGGTATATTCTGAATAGTAGTGATAGGTATTAGGGAGAGAGTGTTTGATTAAGTTTCTTCCTCATTAGATAGTCATTGCTTGTCCTAGTCATTGGTTCCCACAGAGGTAGTATTTCGGGGGATCAATTTGAACATTGCTGAAGTGCAACAGTGACTTTTTTCCACTATCAGAAGAAGGTTCAGTTTACTTACACTATTTGATGGAAGGGAAACCATACTGATTAAGAAAGTTTTATATGCTGCAGGATATTTTTAAGGAGCAGTTTTTACTATGCTTTCATTTTGTTCTTACATAGTAATTACTTAACATACAGGAAGTTTGTGTTAGGAGATTAAAATGATATATACAAACCATTTTTGTCTTCATTATCTTTTAGTACTCTTTGAAAGTACTGGGTGTGAGTCCTATGCCCTGATACACTTTGGCACCTAATAATTGAGAGCAGGAGGAATTTTGTTTCCTTCCTCTTCCTCTTAAGGTAGACCCAATATTCTTCACTAAGGTTCTGTTTTACTTTGTTTAAAATCTGGATGTAGACATGAGCCATTATGAAAGGCTCCCATGCCACACTTGTATACCCTATACACAACTTTATTCTGAAAAGCATACTTGGATACAGTTAAGATTCATCTTACCATAGTTGGCATTTTATCCACATGGAACATCTTAGGGACTATGTTCGTTATAAGAATTAACTAGATTGCAGTTTAAGGGCACATGAAGGTGTAAAGCAAAAATTAGGTTGGCCATCCCTGTGTCTTTTTCCTAATAACTTCTTTCTTCCTTATAAATATTTATTTGACTTTTTAAGCATCAACTTCGTCTTTATATGCCCTTCTACTTGGTGTGTATGGGTGGGGGGGCAGTTGGAGAGAGAAAAAGTGAACCAAACACTAGGATCGTGAAATCCTGACAAATTCAGATGTTGGTAAAATGTAAGGAACACATTTTTGGGATGCCTCCTTACAGTGAAAGGCACTTACCCATGAGTTAGTTATTATTTTGGGGGGCTTGTATTTTATAGTTCCTCTTAAAATTTTTTGTTGCCACCAAAAGGGCTATTTTATAAGAAATCTATGAATTACTGAAACATAAGTTCAGACCTCTCTGGTGAATTTGACCATAAAATTTAAAAGTGTATGTATATTTATAAAGGCATACTTCTAATAAGAAGGTTGATTTTATGTTTGTCTTTTTTTCTCTATTTTGGTCACCACTCTAGCTGCTCTTTTATTCAGATCACCTTACTATTCAAACTTGCCTCTTGATGTTACACTGTCTAGAATATCACTTAAAATCAGCCACCCCCAACTCTGCTAGAGAGCTCTTTGAGGGCATTTCATGCATGGTGTTCTGATGCCCTGATAAAGAGGAGGGTATTATGGAAAACAAGGAAATGATACCCCTCACTGATTAATACGGAACGTATTTCAGGCAAAAAGAAAAACCAAAGAGGTCCAGATAATTACCAATATAAAATGATATTTATAAATGTAGTTATCTCAACAGAATGGAAGGCTACCTTTTGTTTGAATGTGTCCTACAGATGTGGTATTAACAGTACAGTTCATAGCACCAGTAGGTAGGTGTGTGTGTATGTGTATGTGTACAGTTCATAGCGCCTGTAGGTAGGGGTGTGTGTGTGTGTGTGTGTGAGTGAGATGGGGGCCAGCAGAGTGAACTGAGGCTGTATCAGC